AACGGCTCTCATGACCCCAGTCCACAGGACCTCTGACTCCTCGGGCTTAGTCTGCATTCTCATGTTCTCTGAGTCCTTGTTCAGCAGCTGCTCCTCCACTGACTCTGGACCTTTCTGGTTCTCAATGGCAGGAGCAAGATTGACCTGTTGTGTGGCATGTATTCCCAGGGGTTTCTCCATGTTTGAGTGATTCACACACGTCTGTGGGTGGGCATCTGCAGCCAGTGCATGGTGGGCCTATTGTGTCGTCGTTTCCCTGTGTCATGGTAGTTCTCAATTGAGTGGTGGTGGCCGGCCTGAGGGCTGGCACACAACAGCGCTTGCTGCTGCATGGCTTCCTGTGCACCAGGGGCCCTCCTTCCGGGCGCCTACGGGGCAGGGAGCTGGCGCGAAGACCGGGGCTTGCCACCCCATGGCTCCCGTGCGCTGGGGTGGCGGGGAGGCTCCTTCTGGGTGCCTGTGGGTCAGGGAGCCGCCTGAAGACCGGCGCTCCCTGCCCCATGGCTTCCCGTGTGCTGGGGGCCCTTCTTCTGATTTGCAAGATTTAATTTTTTAAAATTTCTACCTGTAAATTTGGTGATAGATTCTATTTAGATTTGGATATGTCTGTATTGTTGGCATTTGGCTCTGCCAGGCTAGACTGTGTGGCTGGGCCTACTTTGGGGGCAGGAAGTATTTTGGATTTTTGTACTTGGCATTATAGAAACCTTAAAGTTGTAGTTAATGCATGTACCCCCACCCACTGTGCTAAATATTGAACCCACAGCCTCACGAGTGTTAGACAGTTCTCTACTGCTCAGCCCCACCCCAGCCCTAGTTCTTGTATTCTGACCCCTTTTGAGCCCTTTTTGGTAAAATCTAAACTGCTTCCAATGATCTCAAGAAAATAACCAAAAGAACAATACTTGGGAGGGATGTCATGATAGAGTGTTTTGGTCCTGTGGCTTGAATGGTTAAGCCAAGGGGATGAAAACAAAAAGATGGGGAGAGTAAGGGAAGAATGCTTTTCCACTCCTGATGTTTTCTTCCACATATAGGAAGGTTAGTTATTCTCAGTGCTTCAGCAGATTTGCATAGATTTACATATTTATCAAATAAGGGGAGGAAAATTAGGATGCTTACTCCATTTTCAGTTGGGGCTTGGGTTGCTTGCAGGAAGCACTAGATTCTGCTCTGCTGTGTATTTCAAGTATTATAGCTGTCTGCCCTATGTGAAGACGTCTGGGCTGGTCCAGAGTGCCTGTAGTTTGATGGGTAAGTCTGAGGAATTCTGGAGCTGCATACAAAGAAGTTAACACAGACTATTGATATGAGTTACATCATCCACCTACCCTGTCAGTAATCAAAGTGACACATGTCTACCATTTTGGTTTTTTTCTCAATTGGTTTGGAAATCAATTGTGGAAGAGGTGGGCGAATTACTGGTTCCCCTGACTCCATTATTGTGGAGGCTGCTGTTCTAGTACAGCTTCCTGTTTCCCCACTGTTGTCTGTCACATGAGTTCCACACCCACCAGAGCATCTGAATGATTTATCTGAAATGCAGAATCAGGTCATGTAACACTGGCTCTGAAACCCTGCAGGAACTTCTATGTAAAGAGCCCAAGGTCCCTAGCAGGACACTGTGAAGGGTACCTGTTGACCTTGGCAACCACATCTTGGTCTTGCTTTAGTAAAACTAAATGTGCAATACTATCTGTTTCTCCGCTTTGGATTTTTAGTGTTGTTGGGCCTCTGTGGGAATAACTATTTCTAAACTCTTTCCTTGGTTCATTTCTACTCGAGTAGCTAAAGTACCGCCTCCACTTGGAAGTCCTTGAAGATCTCCCATCCCTCTCCCCCTAAATGCAAAGTGTATTTTCTTTACCTGTTACCTGTTTTGCACAGCTGTTGGCTTCTGGGGAAACAGTGTTAAGCAGTGCACACCATGCAAAATCCTGGTTTCAAAGGAAAAATTTTTGTTTTGTTTTGTTTTGGTTTTTTGAACAGGGATTTGCTTTGTAGTGTAGGCTGACCTTGAACTCCTTGCCCAATTGCCTTATCCTCCTGAGTGCTAGGATTACACCTGGCTGAAACAAACTTTTGCGTTGGATCCAAAACCAGAGTGTGGGCTGCCACTGCACCATCATCTGAATATCTTAAGAGTTTGGGTGGCATGGACAATTGATCCACAATACAGTCA